ATTGCCCTCCCAGATCACAGCTGGTTTAAACCAAATCTCGAAATGGTGCAGCTTTGTACAACAGTGCTAAAGTCAATGAACAACCGAATCTAGCCTATCAGGTTCCAGCTTCTGACAGAAAAGTGATGTTACATAAGGACAAGAACTCTTAATGGGTGTCCTGCCTCCATCCAAAGCAAAGAAATTAGATGTACACTGTTACAAGTATTACAAGGTCTCACGGCTTTAAGTCAGGCTGGCAACATTATGGAAAACAGAGGTTTTAGTTTAACGGTGGCTATTTTAAACCAAATGTTTACTGCATGCGACAAGTGCCTAGAATAACCTATGGAAACTGAATATATGCATGCATTCATTCAAGATTAGGAGAGAACCTTACTATGCTCAGCCCCGTCTGCTCCTCAAGAGGAAGTGAACCAAGGATTCTATAAAACGTAACTGGTTAACTGCAATTACTACTGTTTGTTTATGTTCTCTCAGTTCAACCTTTGGCTCAGGTATACAGAGGAAACTACAGAATAGTAAATTAATACTTCATACCCAAAGTTCTTTGCAGATTGTCTGAATAAAAATCATATCCCTGTGGCACTGAAACAACCACCTCTGTGGCAGAAACAGAAGGCAGTACACTAACTACAATGAAAGACTTTAAAGCAAAAGCTATATTATGAGAGAATACATGGGTTTTCCAGTTTACCAGAGCACCCCTTGGAATAACCAAAAACAAGGGCCACAAGCAGATGGAGAGTAGGTTTATGTTGGACATCAGAAAGAACTTCTTCACAGTTAGGGCTGCCAGAATCTGGAATGGGCTTCCAAGGGAGGTGGTGCTCTCCCCTTCAAAAGGAGACTGGACAAGCACCTGGCTGGGATCACATGACCCCAGCACTTTTTCCTGCCACAGGCAAGGGGTCGTACTCAATGATCCTTTGAGGTCCGTTCTGACCCTAGCATCTATGAATCTATGGTTTAAGAGGCAGAATCTGGTAACAGCAGCTTAAGCTAGAATTTCAAACTAGGCTACAGAAAGTAGCCCAGTTTTGCACCCACCCTTGAAGGTTTTCGCTTTTATTTAGTAGCAGGTGCTTCCCTCAGGACCAAGCTGTGAACACAACCCACACTGAAAATCCTTTGATGCTCCAGCTGACTAGCACATCTGATCTGTAGCTGAAAATTAAAACCCATGCAGAACCCATTCCACAGAGCAGCCAAGGAGCCACCGAATTGAGTAGAACCAAGAGGAAGAATTTAGCAGCATGCCGGGCGAGCCACTACAGTCATTCAATAATGTCTGCCCAGAACATAGTTGAAGTTTCCAGTTGCAGGTCCAGAACTGGTTTATCAATAAACCAAGGATTCAAAAGTACGTCACCAGCTTGTCTGGCAGGCAATGATTACAATTCACTTGGGACAGCCAAAATGAAGTGCAACTGTTCCAAGATGAGCAGCTGGGCACCTGATACATGGAAATACCAACGTTTTTGCACGAAGTTCCCCAATAGCTTCTTTCAAGAATTTGTAGCAACAAGTACTCAGGACCTCAACTGCACAGCTCATCTGAAAAAGCACTTCTTGGTAGTGTTTCCAGGAGTCTTGACTGATATCTGAAGGCTGAGTTAGGAAGTAATTACCAAGACACCTAATTTCATTTTAAAGGATTCATACAATTACTAACCCAACTTCAACTGCCAAGCTTAAAAAATGGGTCCAATCGCAGTCCGGCTAATGAGCCAACAAGAACAGTGATTCAATTCCCACAAATTCATGATGCTCAAAAGCTTGCTTAATAACTATTCTCCAACCATTTGGGTTGGTCTAATAAAAGATATCAAATTCACCCAAGGAACCTTGTCTGCCTGATGCTCACTAATACACTTAAGTATCTAGCATGTTTATTAATATATTCCATTTCCCTTGAAAAGACGACCCTAGTTCTGAAGTTTTCCAGAACATTCCATCAAGTTCTACTAGAAACCTATGGATGTTTGCAGACAACTGTGTAGCAGAAACAAAATTAGCTTAAAAAAAACAAAAACAAAAAACAAAACAAAACAAAAAAACAAACTGTCTGGATCCCTTCCTCCCCACCCATGGTTACATGCAACAACCTAACAAGTCCTATACAAGGACTTAGAATCCACACCCAACCTTACCTCTTCTTAGACTAGAACCACTAGAAATTGACTGAAACCTTGCTATTTAAAAAAGAGCCTTTCCATTTCAAAGAACTTTCTCTTCAAGAAATAACCAGGTTTACATCCTATCAAAAAGGTAGGATATTTGAAAGCAAATGCTCATCACATTGCAAGACACACTAGTTGATATTTTTCTTATTTCCCTGCAAAACCTGTTTGGACTGTATGCATTGATACTGCAAACCCAAATAATCTGGGTAATGCCAGTGCTTTAGAAAATACATATTTCAATTAACACAGTTTTGACACTGAAGGAACTATCAGGTGTACATCAGACAAGATCTTTAATACCATGGAATCAGAACTTCAGCTTAGTCTTTCAGAGTCAACTCCTCGCCCAAACATAAAATGTTGATCACTTCAGAGTTCCTAAGAGAAATGCTAATTACAACACTAATTATCATTACAGCTCTATAAACACAGGCAGTAACTGTCATGTAGCATGGCATAGTAGAATAAGTTCAAAACTAAAGGCAAGAAATCAAGCATTATAATACTACTTTTGCTTTTGACTCACTGAGTGATCTTGAATCAGTCTCCTTTTTCCTTTATTGTAAAATTAAAAAGTGATACTTCAGTAAAGTACAGCATCCCTGACAAGTAGCTACCAAGTTTTGTTAATTCTAGATCTTATCCCTCAGTCCCTCAAAGGAGAATTGAAACCTAAACAGCAGGTGGCCACGCTTTGAAAGTGACTCATCATGCAGGTGCTCTTAATTATTATAGTCCATAAGCCAGTGGCTTTCAACCTTTTTTTCATTTGTGGACCCCTAAAAAATTGGGAGGTGTGAACTGCTTTGAACTGCACGTATGGGAATTCACACACTTTTGACTGACCACAGTAGTCTTTTGCAGACTCCTTAGACATAGGCTGCAAACTCCCAGGGATCCACAGACCACAGGTTGAAAACCACTGCCTTAAGTCATAAAAAGATAAACCTTCCTACCCAGGAGAGCACACAAACACCATCAGACTCTCCTTATGCCTGAAGAAGAGTGTTTATGTTAGAAGGTTAGCAAAGAACAATTTTTCCAACTATTTAATCTGTCAAAAAAGATATCACATCTACCCAAAGAACCACATCAATCTTTTTACAAGGCACTGGTTCAAGAAAAGCAATGATTACAAGATGCACTGCTTAATGTCTCAGGATTTTAAGAATATTTATTACTTCATAAGTGTCATGTACACATTTGCAACCAGTATGCTGAGATATTTTTTGTCCAATTTAGTATTTTCAAATCTCATATGCAAGAAAGGTTTGTTTACTTAAACATTCAAACCTTCTCTCTTATTACCTTGCAAAGTATCACTTAAAATTCACTTGGTTCTTGGCTGAAGAACCAAGACCTCAATCCTGCAACAGAATCCATATATAGTCTTAAAACACAGAATTAGGATTTCCCATTACAGATCCTACTGTCAGATCAAGGTGAGTCTGCAAAATGCCCTGCAAGATCCCTGACAATGCTCCCAATAAGAAGATAATTAGGACAGAATTTTAAAGTAGAAATCCCTAATCAAATCCAGCTGCTGTTGAAACAACGTTGATTCAGTAGGCAGCTTTCTTCTCTCGATCTTTGCCATCATTAGACTCTCAAACTGTTCATATGCTGTTCTGCCAGGCACACCTTGTTCCAGGTGAGACAAATAAATCTTGAGCCTTTGCCGTGAAGACCTCAAAGCCATTTTCCCTTGTTAGGCCAACTTAGAGGAGGAGGAAAAAGATAATACTTCTAATGGAAGCATCGGCACACTTAATATGCTAGTCACAACTTCATGTAGAAAGTCTTGTGCAGATAAATGCGTTATGCCTACCTACATTCTTCTTGTGATTTCAAGCAGCAGCATACGTATTACATGTTCAAAATTGCTCTCTGGTAGCTGCCACCCCAGACAGCCATCATTTCGGTGAATTGAGAAATTCATATCTAGATCTCTATATGTAGAGCAATAAAGCACTTAGGAACCTTCATGATGAAAAAGATATATAAAATGTGCAGACACAAGTTTCCACCTTAAACAAGAGTCATCTCTATTAGTACAGAGCACTTGAGGAATCAGTCCTAAAAGCACAACATCAGGGGAGGAAAACAAGCTCCTCCTTGTCAACCTTAACAAATGATGAAAATCACTAGTTTAAAAGTACCTTTCAGATCTTCCTTCGTTTGACATTTCTCCATTCAACAGTGGAAAAGGCAGGGCTCAACCAACCCAAAATTAACCTAATAAGTGTTTTCTATCACTGCAACGTACAACTGGACCCAAATTATCATAATTTTGTCCAAGCGACGGCAAACGCAGCACAGATCAACACTCAATGTGCCAGCAGCAATATCTTTTATGAGACCGACCAGACGGTCGGAAAAAAATAAATAAATAAATAAATGCTTTATTTGCAAGCTTTGGGGGCACATGCGCCCTTCCTTCCTCAGGCACAGGAGGATGTCAAGACGATAACATTTCTCCCAGGTAGAAACGCTTGTACTTTGAGACCAAGCTGGGTCTGAAATCCCCTGCAGCCGGGAAACAAAACAAGCCCCAGGAGCAGACGGCCCCATGGCCGCTACTCACCCAGCCGCCCAGGGCCGCCCCTGCCGCCACCCCCCCCCCCCCCCCGGGCCCCCCCCTCCCGCCACAGCCTCGGGCCCCCTCGGCCCCGGGGAGCGGGTTTCCCACCCTCCTCCTCGCCTCAGCGCCGCCGGGGGCACAACAACGAGCTTGTTCTAGAAACCGGCCCCCCGCCCTCGCCCGGCCCCGGCCCGAGGGAGGGGGCGCCCAGGACCCGCCCGCACAGCGCTCACCGCGGCGGCGAGAAAGCGGCTGCAACCCAGGTGTCGGGGCTGGTGCTGGGGCTGGTGCGGGGCCGCTGCAGTGTCCCCAGCCGTGCGCGTCGCTGCCCGCCCCACACTGCCCC